TTTTAAGTATCACTATAAGCACACTTAAAAAAACTGATGTGTTCTAATCAATTTCAGACACTTTTGATACTCCAAGTTTTCCATCTTTCACTAGTGGGAGCCCCTTTAATTGGCCCCATGCATTCTTTGACATGAACCCATTAGACCTTGATAGGTTCCCTGGTCTGGAACAATTAGATGTCCCCAGCTTAACTTTTCAATTCCTTCTCAATATTGGATACATCCTTGATAATGGCAGTAAATAACCACAGGTCGCCCAAAAGTAGTAATTCCACAACTGCCATGTGGCATGTAGTACTTTGCTGGAGCAGATCGATACTACCTCATTTACATGGTATGATTTGGGGGAATGCATTCTTTTCTATCTCAATCACAAATTGTCCCTGTTCACCTTGAATGGAAACAATGTGCCTTTACATATATAATCATAGTAGCTCTACATGTATAGTCATGCATAGTGTTTGAAGAGTTCTGGACAATTTGGATATCCCATTAGAACATCACATAGATCCATTACATTGATGCTATTTTGTTGTTCAGCAGGGATGAACAAGTGCATGCTAGAGGCCTTGATAAGACATATGTGCTCCAGATGGTTAGAGGTAAACCTATAAAAATTTAGGGACCTGCCACATCCATACAATTTTACAGGTTCAGTGGTCAGGAGTGTGCTAACATATCCCCTCCAAAGTAAAAGACAGACTCTTTCAACTTGTACCTCCAGGCACAATGCCTCCATGAAGTCTGGAGGTAGCATATTCTATACCTTGGAATATTACTCTGGCCTTATGGTGAGTGGTGTGAAATGCTGCCAACTCTGAGTGCAGCCCAGAGCAGGAAAAGGCTCTGTAGCCAATCTAGGCTATGGGGCCAGAACTTTGTCTACTCGGGCCATATGAAGTAGACCCTATGATATTCGAAGTATTATTAGTGAGGAAAGATGCAATGTGGCATTTGTGGCCAACCCTAGTGGGAGAATCACAACCCAGGGTCCTGAGGTCCTGAAGCAAGAGCAGAACCTTTTGAAAAACAACTCATAGTATTCTACCAGGCCCAGGTGTAATACTAGGAGATAGAACGTTTGGCCATGTGGACAGAACCAGCCCATGATAAGATGGGTCCTTAAGACCTTCTAATCAAATGTTGGGGTAGGTCCAGCAACAATCCCTTATAAGATAGAAGTAGAATCTCTTGAATGGAAGTAGTGTCTCTGGAATGGAAAATAAGGAGGACCAGTATGCACAAGCAAACTGCATACACAGGTGGCTCAGACCCCCATAGCACATAATCACTATTACACTGTTGCCTCTCCTTCAGCTCACAGTTATGGCAATGTGGGATTTCCATATGATCGGCTGAAGGAGGAAGAAAAAGCTTGAGATTTATTTACAGATAAGGCAGCCCCATATATGGGTTCAAACCCAAAATGGATGGCTGTTATCACAACTTCAGTCACAGAGGCCTTGGAAGACAGTGATGAGGAAACACTCTCCCGCTTGGCAGAGCTTTGGGTATTGCATCTGGTCATTCATTTTGTGTGGAAATAGAAGTGTCTAAGGTTAAAATATATTCAAATGATCAGTAGCCTGGAAGGAAAATGTTAGAAGACTGGAGATAAGAATATCTAATATTGCTGGATGTGGATTCACATATGGGTGGGCAAGAAATATAAAGATTTTAGTATCACTTGCTAATATCCACCAAAGAGCATCTGCCACGAAAGAAGCACTAAACAACCAAGTAGAGAAAAAGCCTTGGCCAGTTAACATCAGTTAGCCTCTGTCATCAGCCACTCCAGTGCTGTCATAATGGGCACATGAGCAAAGTAGTCACAGTGACAGAGATGGAGGCTGCACATGAGCCCAGCAACATAGACTCACACTTACTAGGATTTATCTATCTACTGCCACTTGTGAATGTCCAAACTTTCTGCAATGGAGATCAAAATGGAACCCCTGATATGGCAGCATTCCTTGAAGAGACCAACTGGCTACTTTGCGGTAAACTGACTACATTGGACTCTTTCAATTCTGGAGGGGTCAGCAGTTTGTTTTCCAGGCATGGTTTTTCTTTCCTGCCAGCAGGACCTCAGTGAGCACCACTATCCAGGGGTTTATACAATGTTTGATCCACCAATGGGATCTTACATAATATTACATCATACCAAAGGACGCATTTCACAGCAAGAGAAGTATGGGAATGGCTCATGACCACAGGATCCATTGGTCATATGACATAGTACACTACACAGGAGCTGCTAGCCTTAGAAAATGTTGGGATGACCTACTGAAGGTATAGCTAAGGCACCAATTCTGAGGCAATATTCTGAAAGGATGGGAGTGTCATCCTCCAGGATTTAGTGTTTGTATTGAATCAAAGACATTTACCTGGCACCGTGTCCCCAAGAGGAAGAATATATAGATCCGTGAAGCAAAGTGTGGAAGCAGGGGCTATTCCATTTACCATCACTCCAAATAATTCACTAGAGAACTTTGTTTTTCAGGCTGGTCCAGAGTCCAGCAGGCAAGAAGAAGAGTCACCATCTTGGGGTAACTGACTCTGAACATCAGGGTGAGACAGAGTTGTTGCTACACAATGGAGCAGGGAGGGATGTGTACAGAACCATGGTGGCCTGGGTCTGGCTGTCAGGTAAGCCACTGATTCCAGCAGAGGCAATAGCTGAGGATGAGAAGAATCTAGGAAGGAGGAAAATAAGAATTGATCACGGTAGGAGATGTAGTTCATCCCGCTAACTTTCCCCTTATCAGTATCTGCTCAGGAAAAGAGGCCCACCAAAATCCTGGAGGAGCTGTTCCCTGAATATATATGGAGAAGTATATCTAAGAAGAGAAGTTTCCGCTAAACACAGAAATGCATTGCTCAGTTCCTCCATTAAGGCATGACTTGCTGCTAGGCTGTGGGGAGTGGGATCAGCATTCAGCTTCCGGCTGTCAGCTTCTCAGCTTCAGAGAGTTACCTCATCCGAGGTAGGTCAGTTCCAAGGCTACTCGCATTTAGTGACTGTGAGAAGTGGAGGTATAAAGGCCTGACTGTTTCAGCTTGTTGGGTGATGATTCTGATAGGCAATACTCACTCCCAAGTGCTAAGTTGGCTTGGCCAAGTGTTTGATGGGCCTGCATTGGGCTGCATTCGACTTCCCCCTCTGCTCAATCCTGCCCTTTCCTTTTGAAGATGTTGACCTATAATAAACATCTTGCATTCCCAACTCCATCTCAGCATCTACCTCACCCATGACAAGGGAGTAAAATTTTTATAGTTAAAAACTGGATTCATATGCAAATGTAAACAAGTTATTGTTCTTGTGTTTTCTTTTTCTCCAGGAGAGATTATGCTGGTAGGAAACATCTCTGTCCACTTTATATACAGGGCCTCATTGCTACAGGCAATTCCCCATTGTATTTATGTGACCACAGGATAAGCAATTTGTGTATCTCATATATGAAGAAAATCTATCAAGAACGAGAAAAATATTCATTCTTAATAATAGTAATAATAATGCTGAGGAGCTGTTGTCTGAGTTTTGAATTTTACTTGCAACAGGCTTATCTGAAAGCAAGTGTTCAAAATGACACTAGGAAATGGGCCTCTATAGTTTGAGGGTTATGTCTTACTGATCTTTGTATTTCCTTACCACTTAACACAATGCCTGGCTCTAAAAAGATAGTTAATAAATGTCTTTTTGTATTCTTTTGTGTGTGTGTGAGGAAGATTGGCCCTGAGCTAACATCTGTGCCAATCTTCCTCTATTTTATGTGGGATGCTGCCTCAGCATGGCCTGACGAGTGGTGCTAAGTCCACACCTGGGATCTGAACCTGCGAACCCTCGGCTGCCGAAGCAGAGAGTGCGAACGTAACCACTATGTCACAGGGCTGGCCCCTTAATAAACGTCTTTTTGACTATTAAATACAAGGTTCAAATTTTATTCTACATGAATGAAAATATAATGGGAAAATAAGAATTTGTACAGAGTGAGCAAGTTTACATAAACTATGAAATACATTAATCAAAAACAGTTATTGTGGGGGCTGGCCTGGTGACGCAGCGGCTAGGTTCCCATGCTCTGCTTCCACAGCCTGGGGTTCGCCAGTTCCGATCCCAGGAGTGGACATCGCCCCGCTTATCAAGCCATGCTGTGGCGGGCATCCCACATATAACGTAGAGAAGGATGGGCATGGATGTTAGCTCAGGGCCAATCTTCCTCAGTAAATAAAGAGGAGGATTGGTAGTGAATGTTAACTCGGGACTAATCTTCCTCAAAAAAAGTTATTGTGTTTCTGCTGTGTGTAACAGGTGCTAATGGTAAAAGAGTGCCCCTGCTCTCAAATATCTTATAAATTGGTTGCAGCATGATGAAACACAACATGCTTATCAAAGTAATATTGGCCATGTCAATTTAGTAAATATTAAGTATGTGTCTGTATTCACTATGAGATTGCGCAGCCTGAAATAAACAGATTGGTTTTGTTTTCTTTTGTTTTGTTATATAGTCTTTGTATTCACCTCCTTATTGTTAAATCCTCTGACTTTCTCAGGCTTACTTCTTTTTTTTTTAAGATTTTATTTTCTCCTTTTTCTCCCCAAAGTCTTCCGCGCCCGCCCCCCCCCCCCATAGTTACATATTTTTAGCTGTGGGTCCTTCTAGTTGTGGCATGTGGGACACTGCCTCAGCATGGCTTGGTGAGTGGGGCCATGTCGGCGCCCGGGATCCGAACTGGTGAAACCCTCGGGGAAACCCCGGCCGGGCGAAACCCCAGGCGGAGGAAGCCGAGCGCACGAACTTCTCCGCTCAGCCACGGGCCGACCCCCAGGCTTACTTCTAGCAGCTGTCTCTATTGACTGTTGGCTAATCCCTCACACCACTAGGGGGCATACAACTTGCCATAGAGAAATTGTGATACTAGAGAGGAGAGGTCAAGGGCCATATGCTGTTACTGCGTGCTTACTCAGGTAAAGCAGGCTAGGGGGTGCTTTACATAGAATGGCTGTAAATTTTAATGATCCAGACTGTGGCTTCTTTCAGAGAGAGGTTGTAGATTTCATAAATAAGCAGCTACTTCGAGGTGGAGTTCGCCCGTACTTTTACAGGATGCAGATGTGTGAGTCCTGGGGTGAAATGGAAGAGAAGTTGCGGGACATCCTGACGGACTCAGCAATATCGAGAGCCATCAAGGAGGCTTGTGCTTGGGGCACCCTGGCCCTGGCAGTACGCTTCGCACGGAGGCAGAAGAGGGACGATAGAGAAAAGGTAAAAAAGCTCCAGGATCAGCTGGAGGAGCAGAAGGTGTTCTCTAATGCTTTGGTAGGGATGGTGAATAGACTCAGGGATAAGCAAAAAAGAGAAAAGGAGATTGCCCAGCTCCAACTTCAACAAAATCTCACGATCCTTCGTAGAGTAGAGGAAGAACGAAATTTACTCAGGAATGCGCTTCTTAGGGTGTTAAGGTCTCAGTTTCAGAAGCAGGAAAGAACAGAGGAATTGGAGAAGGGAAAGGAGACACAGACATTAGGCACGCTTGCTTTTGCTCCTGATGCAGTCAGTTACTGGACAAGGGAGGGGGCCACGCAGGGAGCAGGCCCGGGGACTGCTGCTACTCCTATGACTGCGGCTATAGGGGGAGAGGCAAAGGGGCAGAAAGTGATTTCCATATGGGGGAATGACCAGGAGGTACCTGTTTTTCCTTGCTCTGAGATCTTGAGGGCCTGGACCCAGGCTGGTCAGCTGCTGCCCTTTAGTCTCTCTGAATCCTCTTACTCATTCCTACCGACGTATTCTCTCCCAGGAGCAGCAACAAAAGCTGCAGCCGTTCCTCTTGTGAAAAATTCCCTGACTAGCTGGAAGGGTAAGCATCTCCATACCAGGAAGTTCTTGCCAGAGAGGTTTAAGCAAGAGGCTGGCATCTGTCACTCTGCAAAAGATACCATCAGGCGCAAAGTAGGGGACTGGGACTGTGACCAGTGTTCTAGGATCAATTTCTCATGGCGAAAGATGTGTTTTAAATGTAAAAAGTCCCGGTACACAGAGGAAAGTGGAGGCTCTGCCCGCAATTAGAGGCCTCACAGAATTCTAACAAATTCATTTCCTGACGTTCTCTTCTGATTAGAAATGGAACAAGAACATGGTCTTGATTAGATATTATATAAAAATAGACAAGCAGAAAGGAATAAGATATAAAGATCATCTTTAACCTTGCCACTCAGAAACAGTTAACATTTTACCTATTTACTTCCACCTCTGAGTATAACTACATATATGAGTTATAATAAATAGTTATATTAAATAATTTTCTTATGAAGATAGAATCATTTTGAAAATTAAGTTTATTACTTGCTTAAAAATGTTCTTTGATTGATTTGATAAAATTTGGAAAATAGAGGAAAGAAGTACAAATAAGAGAATAAAAGTCACACAAACTGCCGTCACCCAGAAACAATCCTTAGAGCTCAATTTTGCTGGTCTCCTATTGTTGGGCAGACAGACATACGCACATGCGAACACATATGGACATGCATGCAGAGACATGCTATTTTGATTTTTAAAATGAAATAAAACTCTACATATATTTTGGGAATCTACTTTAAAAATTATATTCATTTAAATTTGGAAAATTCAGGGACACATATGTGGATACATAAAATGCTAATCCAACCACCTGGAGAAAATATCTTCCAGTATTTCATATATTTTAAACCCTTTTTAGCTGTGTGTGTATATGCACGCATATATATGTTGTTGTTATTAAAATTAACTCTTTTTTCTTATTTCTAAAGTAGAAAACTGAACGTAAGGAACAGCAGAGAAGCAAAAGGAAGAAAATAAGTTTTATGCATAATCTATTCAGAAAACCATTATTTTTATCTATATACATATTATTTTTAAAATTTATATATACAAAATTTATTTTATATATAAATTATATAAAATTTATTTTTATATAATTTATATATAAATTCAAAAAATAATATGTATATATAAATAATATGTATATATATTTCTCTTAACATTATTCCCCATCTTTTGGGGGAGTACTGCTTAATAAATGTTTATTCATTTCTTAAATGGGCTTACTAGAGATTAATTTTGTTTTGTTTTTCTTTCTTTGATCCATTCAAAGAACCAGCAGCTGATTTTATTTATCAGTTCTATTATTTATGTACCAACAAATTCATTGATTCTTCTCCAATTTCTTCTATTTTCTTGAGGATTTGTTGGTTTTTTTGGGAGGGGGTTGTTTTTTGGGTTTTTTGGTGAGGAAGATTGGCCCTGAGCTAACATCTGTTTCCAATCCTCCTCTTTTTTGCTTGGGGAAGATTGCCATTGAGTTAACCTTTGTCCCACTCTTCCTCTATTTTGTATGTGGGATGCTGCCACAGCATGGCTTCATAAGTGGTGCATAGTTCCATGCCCTGGATCCAAACCCATGAACCCTGGGCCACCAAAGTGGAGCACATGAACTTATCCACTACACCACCATGCTGGCCCCTGTTGTTATTTTTGTTTGCATTCTAAGTTCTTGATATTATACTCGGTTCATTTATTTTGGGGGGAAGATTAGCCCTGAGCTAACATCCTCCACTGATCCTCTTTTTGCTGAGGAAGATTGGCCCTGACCTAACATCTACGCCCATCGTCCTCTATTTTATATTTGGAATGCCTGCCACAGCATTGCTTGATAAGCAGAGCATAGGTCTGTGGCCAGGATGCAAACTGGCGAACCCTGGCCACCAAAGCAGAGCAGGCAAACTGACCACTACACCACCGGACCAGGTCCTATTTTCATTCTTTTTTGTGTGATGTTTAAAGATGAGACATTTCTATCAAGCGCAACTTGGTCTTTATACAGTAAAAAGTGTATGTATGTGTGTATATATACAAATGTATGTGTGTATACACATATATATATAAATTTTTGAAATGTGTGTGGATATGTATGTGTGTGTGTGGATATACATACATACATATATATGTACATGTATATCCACACACACATACATTTTTTTTCCTGCTCTTGCTCTGGGATTCTAATCTGGGATTCTAATCTGATGCTCCTAATTAAAATGGTAAAAATTGAGAGGGGGGAATTTTACTTGGTAAAATTTTTAACCATGTTTTCTGACTATATTTCAACTCTGTGGTGGCTGTGCAATTACCACAGACTGCAAAACTGGGAGAAGCAGCATGGTATGTTTTAATCCATGCAAAGATTGGGACATTTGCACTACATTTTTTTGTGACAACTTTCTGAATCCTCTGTGTTTATTTTAATATGGAACAAAACCTTTTGCAATACATAAAAATATCTCCGATTGTTGTTTTTAGGGAGCACTTAATGTAAAGTGAATATGTAATAATAATTAGAATATTCTGTAATCCAATTTGTGTGTTTTAAGCCATCAATGTTGTGAAAATTCATAACAGCCTATAGAAATTAATCTACGTGAATTTACTGCTTGGAAAGTTTAAAAATTGTAATAGTAAAAACATTGTTTCTACTTATTCTTGATATGAATGTCATTGTGTTTTCTGATCTTTTGGCTTGGTTTGAGGGATTTTAAGATAATGAAACACTCTGGTAATGGATCAAATCTGTGTATATGTAAGAGCCACTGAAACATTAATGTTCACTACTCGAAATTGTATGTGGGGGCAACAATTAGACTAGAATAGCACTGATAAAACAGTTATGATGGGAAAAAAGACTGTGTTCAAAATTAGGGACTTAAATAAAGAAGTATAGGTCTGCATTTGACCCATGAAAATGAAAATTAGAAAGATTTTTGAAAGAGCCTTGAAAGCCAGTAGTTTTCATATTTTCCTTTCAATTCGTATATATTAGTGTTGGAAGACTTCATCTGTGATACTAGATAACCTATGTTTTTAGATTCCCTAGTCTTTCCTTGCAGGTAGGATTTCTAGAAAAAATACAGGATGTTCAGCTAAATTTGAATTTCAGATAAACAACAGATTTTGCTTTAGTATAAGTATGTACCAAATATCGCATGTATTTTTATTTGCTAAATTTGACAATGCTACCCGGGGGGAGACTGGCATTTAATTTTCTTTTTCTAGTAAAAATAGTATAGATTATTCTGGCAGAGAGAAGCATTTGGACCTTTACAATTTGGAGCAGATTCCAGGATCCGTGGATGAAGAGCCAGAAGAATGAAAATGGAAATGGAAGGCTCTAATCATTCATCAACAGTGAACTCTGAATGCATGACTTGGGTATGGCAAGATATAGCGTGATATGGCAATCACGACTGGTGAAAAGAGATTTGGAAAAAGTAATTTGGGAATATGTGCTCTTGCCCTGGAAGTCTCCTGCTCTGTCACTGCAGTAGCCTAAATGGTCTCTGAAGTTGCCTTACCCGTTACAGGTAGCATTGTGGAAAAATCTGTGCTGTACTCTAGCGCCCAGATTTTGGCTCCTTAAACTATTCTCCATTAAAAGGAACCAGGGCTCCTTGGAGGGTAGCTGGCACCAAATCTTGGGGCAGGAGAAAGCAAGATGAGCCTGGAACATCTTGCCATTTATAGAAGGTGAGAATGCTGACTTGGGGTACAAAGGGCAAAGAGGCCTGAAGAAGTCTCTCAGCAGGCAGAGTGACATATTGAGCATTGAAAAAGAGGCCCACCCGAAGAGCCTCTCACTGGGCAGAGTGAAAATTGAGCATCAAAAAAAGAAAACAAGCGACAGTTGCAGTCAATTGGAACAGTGGAGTCTACTAAAAAAGTCATAAATCCATGATGATGCTAAAAATGTATAGGTAATGTAAAGATGCTTGTAATGCACACAAGAATTTCCAATATTGTCCATAAAAATTCTGTATATTGACCTACCAATTTATGCAATTCTCACACTCAACTTTTTTGTCAACAAAGAGTTAACACAAATGGTGGAGATGTATGGATTACATGATTAGTTAATACATAAAAAGGTGTTAGTTTTAACTGGAGAGAGAAAAATGTGAGAGAATGTAAAAGTGAGCTTCTTTTTGTATGGAGAAAAATATATAAAAACATATACAAGAAATGGGTGTAATACTCTTCAGAATAAAAATAGTGGAATTTGAGAATCTGTTGGGTTAGAGTGTTTGACAAGGCTTTAAAATATTTTGTGTTATATTATTAGAAAGAAAATGTTATAAATTAGTGGATTTAACAAGATTTCTTGGTCAGTGAAATGTATGAATATACACATAAGAAGAAGGATGCTAGATTGTTTCCATTTTTGTGACCGTATGCATGCTCAAGAGTGTCTTTGAGTATGATACTTGTCTGATATCCATTTACTTAGTGTGATCATAGCTAGCATAAATAAACCAGTTATTGTGAATCCACATAGCCTCATGTGTTCTGTGTGTTGCTATTGCCGTATGCAAAGAAATCTTAGAGGAAGCAGGGTAAGGTCGACATATTTGCACAGCATCATTTATCTTAACAGCTGAAAGCCCATAAAGTCATTTTTCTCTGCCTGCTGTCTTTCCTCAAGTATCATTAATTTCTGCTTTGGTTTGTGGCTAGTAATGGTAAGAAGGGTCCAGACTCTAATATGTGTGGGGTTCTGAGGTTATCAATTTATCTTGGGAAATTGTGGGAATTGATTCTTAGGTTGTAAATTTGTTGAAAGATCTTTTATCCTGGGAAATCAGCTGATTTATGGATAACTTTGGAGGTATGGGGCCAGTGTTGAGATATTTTTGTGTCCTGGTAATTAAAGCATTTAGACAAGTTATTCAGATGATTGAATTGGTGCTGGAATAATCAGTCTTTAGATGTGCTAAAAAGGAGCAAAATCAGTTTCAGTAGAAAATGCTGCCAGTTGTAGCTAATGAAAGAAGAAACCCAAACTTGAGTCACATGAGTGAAATTCTCTGGTTGAAATTGAGTGTCATCAGAAGAAAGGGAATAGGGTACTGTGGCTTTGTACATATGATGGGACGTAATTGGCTTTTGGGAATATAGGAGAGGATATTCATTCTGTTGGAATTTTTGCTAAGAGAACAAGAAATTTAACTGATAATGGTTACTATGAATGTGGTGTATTTTTT